TTGGCCAGATCCTGAAGTCAGGCATGGCTGTCTTGGTCCCTATAGGTGGAGCTTGTCGGATTAAAAACTGATGTGAGGAGGGAAAGCCTGTCCTATGATTTATTTTTATAATTCTGAAGGCACAGCTTACGTGCATTCGGCTGTGCCTTCCATAAAACTTGGGCTATGAGCTCTCATTCCTGGTTTTTAATGAGAAGGGATCTTGGGCCAGGCGGTCCAGGTGCACATGTAAGAGTGGCAAGATGGAGCCCTCCGAGGGCAGGGCGAACCACCCCAGCACAGCCCACTCAGGAAGGCCGCCCTGGCACTCTGGGATGTGGAAGCTCCACCATCTTCTCCCGCCAGGCCTGGAATGTTCTTAGTTTGTGCCTTTCTGGAGTTACAGAGGTCTGGGGGTGATTCCTGCGGCCGGGTCCACCCAGCAAGCAGTGCCCACCTTGACTGCCAAGTCTGCATCTAGCTGGGAACACGCACACACCCTCATGTGCCCAGCTGGGTCAGTGGTTTGGTGGATTTTACTAGTGTGGGTCTCCCTGGCAGGACACTATCCTTGTACCCAGTAACCTCCGACGCACTTGGCAAGGGAGGAAGCCCTGGGGTGGTGCTCACAACCAGTGACATTTGTCTGTCTGAAAAATACACCTCTCACCTCCCAGAAATCTGGATCTCAGGAGTCATTAACATGTTGTTTCAACATCTTATTCAAGGGAGCAAATTTGAGCAAGAGGGTGTTTCTTAACCAGGACAGGGCTTATGGCAGGATTGTCTGCAAGTTCCAGAAGGACTATATAGATTCTTTCTCTGGAAGAATACACTGAAATATGTAACATTTGGGTTCACTGCCTCCCCCTGAAAGCTAAAACTCTGTCGCCAGAGAATAGGGCTCTGTGGCTCATGGGCCTTCATCAACTGGAATTTCTTTGAAGTTTAATTTCATTCACTAAGTCACTGGAGTGCCTGCCAGGTGCTAGGCACTGGGCTAGGTGCTGAGTATGCAAAACTGAGTAGGCCTCGTAGACACGAAGGAATCTTGCAATGTATTCCCATTTTTATTGCCTTTCCTCCTTAGACCTCGTGTTTTGAAAGGAGGTATTCATACCATTTCCACGATTGTCCTCTTTTTCCGTGAGCTCGCTGACATCACTGTCAAGAACCCAGGGTTTTGTAGATTCGGGTCCATAACAGGTGCTCAATGGAGTGGATCAGATTCTAATCAAAAGTTACAGGTGCCTACCAGCTTGGTTTTCTTTGTGAGTGGATAAGTCATTTCCCGACTGGGTAACCTTGGGACCCTATGTGTCATCTGAGGACCCCAGGTGCCAAGAGCCAGGGACTGGATGTTTAAAGTTCTGTCTTGCAAAGGGCTCCTTGCCTCAGGGTAGTTGGGGTAATTCAATTAGATATGGAGTCAGTGAGAAGAACTCAAATAAACCTTACTCTCAAATCAAGCCAAAAGCAACTGCAGAAGGATTAAACAATAAAACATTTTCAAATGAAAGAAAAAGAAAAGATTATGAAGGAAGAAAGGAAGGAGGGAGGGAGAGAAAGAGGAAGAAAAGGAGAGGAGGAAGGGAGAAGGGAAGGAAGGAAGGGCAGGAAAAGGGAAGGCTGGGAAGAAAAGCAGCCTAGGAGCCAACTCGGATTAGAGAGACATTTCCTCAACTTGCTCAAGACCAGCTACAAGAGACCTACCTCTGGGGCTGGGGCGTGGTGGGATGGCTGTACTGGCATCCCACATGGGCACCAGTTTGAATCCCAGCTGTCCCATTTCCATTCCAGCTCTTTTCTAATGCACTTTGGAAGGCAGTGGAAAACCAGCAAAATTCTCTAACCCCCACATCCCTGTGGGAGGCCCAGCTAAACTTCCTGGCTCCTGGCTCTGGCCGAGCCCAGCCCTCGTCATTGCCATCATTTGGTAGTGAGCCAGTGGGTGAAAGGTAGCTAGCACTCTCCCACAGGTCTCCTCTCTGCGTTCCTCCTTCCCCTCCGTCTATTCCGCTTTCAAAGAAATAAATAAATAAATCTTTAAAAACAATACCCTACAGCTAACATGACATTTATTGGCAAAAGACTAGAAACTCTGTCATTGAGATCAATAAGAAAGCAAGGATAATCCTCAACACTGGAAACCCTAGCTAATGCAAGAAAGACAAGAACTTGGTCGTCTGTGTAGAAAATCTGAAAGAACTCTCTGTGTGTGTGTGTGTCTGTCTGTCTGTCTCTCTCTGTCTCATGCATACACACACACACAACTTTTAAACAATAGATAGTAAGCCTATAGGATGAAAGGTCAATATACAAGTCAGTTGCCTTCCTAGATATCAGTAACCAACAGGGGGATTTGAAATTAAAAGTTCAGTGTCTCCCCCAAATGAAATACCTAGCAGTACGTCGAACAAAACACTCAGAAGAGTTACCAGGGAAGGACTTGAAAACTCTGATTAGAAAATTTAAGCATTAAATAAATGGAGGATGTTCCATGTACCTGGACAGAAGGACTCAATATTGTCAAGATGTCAGTTCTTCCCAATTTGATCAATAGGCTCACAGCAGCCCAGCTCAGAGCTCAGCGGCCTACTGACAGATGTTCTAGAGTGTGCATAAAAGGCAAAAGGACCAGCATAACACACAGTTACTGAAGGAGGAGATGGACGCTCCTGCAGCTCAGGGCTTGTAATGAAGCGACAGTCATCAAGATGGAGGGAGACCGGAAAAGGAATAGATAAATGAATCCATGGAAGGAAAAAACTAGAAATGAACTCACATGAATACATTTAACTTTTAGTTAAGAAACAAAGGCTACAGAATAGAGTGAAGGTAAGTTTTCTCAACAAATGGTATCAGAACAACTGGACAGCTACAGGCAACTAAAGGCGTCTGAACGCAGACCTGACAACCTTAAGAAAAGTTCATTCAAAAATGGGTGTAACCTAGTGACTAAGACACTAGATCCTGGGATCCAGCTCCTGCCTGCTTCCCTGCTGATGCAGACCCTGGGAAGCAGCAAGCAACAGTTCAAGAACTTGGTCCTAGCCAGCCACTTGGGAGTCCTGATCGAGTTCTTGGTTCCTGGGTTTGTGCTGGCCCAGCCACAGCTCTTGCCAGTGTTTGGGAAGTCAGCTAGTGGATACAAAATCTTTTTCTGGCTCTCTGCCTTTCAAGTAAACAAATAGCTTAAATCATGCAAATTATACAGTTTATTCAATAAATAAATTGCAAGAGGAGGAATGAAAAGATGGAAAGGAAGTCTCTACATGAAAAAAAAGAGTCAAAGGGCTTCCACTGTAACAAAAACGGAGTTACCAGAACAGCCTTTCTAAACAAATAATTAAAAAAAAAACTTGTAAGATAGGACTGGATTATGAGGTAGCCATTCTCAGGCACTGCACAGCGGCATAGGACTGACATACAACGAAAAGGCTCCATGCTGAGCGGTGGACACTTGAGTTTGGTTGGGATGTGGAAGTGGCTACACTTCTCAGAACCAGAGTCCAGGAGTGCTTGTCATTGAGCAGGCACAATAAGTTCATGTTGGGGTTCCATGAGTCCATGGCAGATGGGGTTCCATAACGCTTAGTAAAGAACAGGTATTCCAGAGACCAGAGTTTGTTGGAGTTTGCACTTAAGACAGAGTGGAGAGATTTCTCCCTACGCACTCGGACATTTGAGATCCCAGGAGGGCCACACTTTAGGAGAAAGGGCCATGCCTTGGAGTTGTGGTTAGTGACGTTCTTCTGTAGAGGACAGACAGTAATTATCTTAGGTTTAGGAGGCGTTTGTAGGATGGTCTGTCATGTCCTATCCATGTTAGTGCCTCCCACAAAACATCCCTCAACACACCAAGGCCTGTGAGTCTACACACTCAGGCAGAAGTCTGGAACTCCGCATGCTACAGTGACTGAAGACCTGTTGTTTCCTCATGTGTCTGGAAGTTAGCCACGAGATACCAGAGCTGAAACAACTGAATGTTTAGATGGGACCTCTCTGTGTGGACTGGGCAGCCTCATGGTAGCTGTACTACAAGGATGAGCACTGGAAAGAGACAAGGAGCCCCAACGGGAAACCAAACTGCCCTTTCTGGCCCATCTCAGAACTCCCCTCACTGAGCGTTGGCCATCTTCTACTTGGCAAGGCAGCTACAAAGGCTCGAGTCCTCTGGCTGAGTCCCTGCACTTGAGCAGCCGAGCCCAGACAGCCCCACAGTGCTGTCCTCAACCCTGCCCTGCAGAATTGACCAGCAAGATAGTCGGCAGGTGGACTAATTTCCAGGCAATTAGGTGGGCACAGTTACTGCAACAACAGTAAATTAATTATAGCATTGCTAGCTGTTTACACGTATGGGAAGTGATCTGTCATCAGTCCTGAGTAGACCTGATCATTAATAGGACATGTAATAGTGCCCAGCATGGTAGCCTAGTGGCTAAACCCTTGCCTTGCATCCACCAGGAGCCCATATGGGCACCGCCAGTTCATGTCCCAGCAGCTCCACTTCCCTTCCAGCTCCCTGCTTGAGATCTGGGAAAGCAGTGGAGGATGGCCCAATGCCTTGGGACCCTGCACCCACATGGGAGACCTGAAGGAAGCTCCTGGCTCCTGGCTTCGGATCAGCTTAGCTCCAGCTGTTGTGGCCACTTGGGGAGTGAACCAGCAGGATGGAAGATCTTTCTCTTTCTCTCCTTCTTTCTGTATATCTGCTTTTCCTATAAAAATAAATAAATCTTTAAAAAAAGTTTTTAACTACAAAATCTAATAAGTAATTAAATTGAAGTTCTAAGCGTAATTTTATTTAACCTAAAGCAGATAGGAAAGGAAAAATAAGAGACTCAATAGTAGATTGGAACTACAAAAAAAGGAAATATAACATTATAGCCCATATCAATTCAACCATGTCAATGACTTCAGTAATTATAATCGGATTGGATAATAATTAAAAGGCAGAGGTTGTCAGAATTTAATATCAAACCTAACTATAAGTTGTCTATAAGAAATAAGCATTTAATATGCTCATTTTGACAGCACATATACTAAAATTGGAATGATGCAGAGATTAGCATGTTCCCTGTGGAAGGATGAAATGCAAATTTGTGAGGAAATAAGCATTTATAAAGAGATACACTGTGCAGTAAGTTGTGTGACTAATTTTGAGGTGTGACTGCTGGTGGTTTACAAGTCCTACCCTCTACCTCCCGGATTGGGTCCCACCTTTGTACAAGCTGAAAGCAAGCCGGCTCCCTCCCCTGGTGTTGACTCAAAGTCCAAGCCTGAGTGTGTGTGAGCCTGCAGCCCTGCAGTTAGAATACTCACATCCCAGAAAGGAGGACCTGGCTTCCTTACTGGCCCTGGCTTCCAAGGACAGCTTCCTGCTGGGGCTTAAGAGCTGCGTTTCTGCCACCTCTGAGAGGGCAGGGCTGAGTCCCTAGGTCCTGGCTATGGCTCTTGCTTAGCGGATGGCAACATGCTCCCTCCTCCTCCCTGGATCACTTGGTCTTCCCATGTCTCTGTCGCTCTTTGCCTGTTTTTAAACAGTAAACACAATTTAAGAAAGAAAGAAACTTCAACACCTGGCTCAATAGCTCAGTGGCTAAATCTTGGCCTTGAATGAACTGGGATCTCATATAGAAACTGCAGATTCATGTCCTGGCAGCTCCATTTCCCTTCCAGTTCCCTGCTTGAGTCCTGGGAAAGCAGTCAAGAATGGCCAAAAGCCTTGGGACCCTGCACCTGTGTGGGAGACCCAGAAGAAACTCCTGGCTTCAGATCAGCTCAGCTCTGGTCATTGTAGCCGCTTGGGGAGTGAACCAACAGATGAAAGATCTTTTTATCTGTCTCTCTCTCTCCTCTCTTTGTAAATGTGCCAGAAAGAAAGGAAGAGAGAAAGAAAAAAAGAAGAAAGAGAGAGAAGAAAGGAGGAAGAAAGAGAGAGGGGGAGGGGGAAAGAGGACAGGAGGAAAAGAAAAAAGAGAGAGAGAGAAGGGAGGGAGGGAGAAAAGAAGGAAAGAAAAAAGAAATTTCAAACCCAGCAAGTCTCTTAAACCAGCCAACTCCTAACCACAAGATAAACCAAATCTACTTTCCGTATCCTCCTCCCCTTGGCTCACACCATTCCTGACCACCTTGCCCTCACCTTACTCTCCCCCCTCCAAAGCCCTTATGTGAGTAACAAATCTTTCCATCATCTCTTGTTGTGCGTGGTATCATGAGCACTAACATTCAAATTCATTTGTGAAGATTGATCCTGCCCTCCATAAAAAATCCATACAAGCTGCCACTTGGGATGCCTGCATCCCATAGCAGTGGTGGTTCAAGTCCTGCTTCCTTCACTTCCAGTTCAGTTTCCTGCTGCCGCACTTGGGAAAGTGGCAGCTGATGGTCTAAGTGCTTGAGTTGCTGCCACCCAGGTCGGAGACCTAGTGCAACTTACAGCTCTTGGCTTCAGCCTGGCTGTTGCGATATTCAGGAGAGAAGCACTAGATAAAATATCTCTATCACTCTAGCTTTCAAATCAATCAATCCATTTCATTGATTACCAAAGTTACAAAGAAAATAAAAGTATAGGAAAAAGAGACATTTCTAGGAGGCAGAAGAAGATACGAGGCTATGTTGTTAGTAGATAAAGTAAATATTACTGTGTGGAATGTTAACAGGACTAAGGGCAGTTGATCATGGTGAAAGGGCTCATTCATCAAGACTACTCAGGAACAGGCATGAAAGGGGTAACTGAGGCCAAGGTCACCATGCACCAGGCAGCTCTGCGGGCTGGGAGGCCTCCTGAAATCCCAGAGACATGTAGTGCAAGAATTGCCTGGGCAAGCGCAGTACAGGGTCATGGCAAAAGGTGCTGCCTGCTGCCAAGGCTCCTCCTGGGGAGCTGGCTTGCCCAAGCAACTGTCTCTTCCTCAGCTCCACACTGGCCTGTCTGTGGGGCCTGGAGATCCTATGCACTCATTTATGACTTGCTTTGGCATCAGACCCTGCCACATCTCAGCCATAAGGACCACTCTGAATACCAGCAATGCGCCTGGGCCGAAGTGGACAGCTGGGACATGAACTAAGCTTGGATCAGTGGCCAAGTCCTTGCTTTACAAGCACCAGGATTCTATATGGATGCCAGTTTGTGTCCAAGCTGCTTTACTTCCCTTCCAGCTCCCTGCTTGTGGCTTGGGAAAGCAGTCAAGGATGGGCCAAGGCCTTGGGACACTGCACCTGCAAGGGGAGATCCAGCAGAAGCTCCTGGCTCTCCTGGCTTCGGATTGGCTTAGCTCTGGCCATCAACCACTTGGGGAATGAATCAGTAAACAGATGACTTTTCTTTCTGTCTCTCCTTCTCTCTGTGAATCTTCCTTTCTAATAAAAATAAAATTTTAAAATGTGTGATTTATAAAGACATAGAAGTCCTTAAATGACCAAATAACACAGATACAGGGCTTTTTTTTTTAATAGCCAGTCCTATTGTGTTTAAGAAAAGCATCAGTGTCAGTGGAAAGAGCTGGTATCATGGCAACAGAGATCTGGGGCTGTAGTGGAAGGGCAGGCAGAGTGGCGTGACCGGGAGATGTGTCAAGCGGCAAGTGACAAGCTAGGAGTGAGGTTCTAAGAAGAGCAGTAAATCCTGCTGTTCCTTCGTCCTCTTCCCACAGAGGAAGCCACCAACAGAAACAAGGTGGGACTCAGGAGCATTTCCCAGGACTCTGGCTTCCCAGAAGAGTCAGGATTCATCAGGGCACTCAGAGCAGCAGGGGAATTCAAAACACTAAAGGGAGTGAGACAGGATCCCAATGATGTATACCAAGTCAACTCTTCGAGAAAACAGTCCTGTAAAATGATGCTTGGGCAGCTATCCCATTCCTAGGAATATACCCAAAAGAAATCAAAACTGCATATGAGAAGGGGATCTGTAATCCTATATATACAGCAGCACAATCTACAATAGCAAAGACATGGAAACAATCCAGATGCCTGTCCAAAGAGGTGTGGTTAAAGAAACTATGGTACATCTACTTCATGCAATATTATTCAGCCATTAAAAAGAATGAAATTATACCATTTGCAACTAGATGGTCCCAACTAGAGACTATTATGCTCAGTCAATCCCAAAAAGACAAATATTTCTCTAATGTAAGGAAACCATCATGCAAATTGGAATGTATAGTTGTGGAGTAATGGAGACTGCCATATCCAGACGTGAAGACACAATGTAACATGCATCCCTACTTCTAAACAAAAGATGGACTCCCAATAAAAGTGTGCGATGTATCTAGACAATGGGACAATGGACTGTCTGACATTGTATACCAGCCATGTTGGGCACACAAATAGCAGACTCATAGAACTGTAACACCATATGAAGGAATGTACTGCTGTGACAATATGGGAAAATCAGTCGGGTGGGAATTGGCGGCGAGAGGAATCCCAAATTATACAGAATTGCATTATAAAATTAAATTTTTTAAATTAATTAATTAATTAAAAATAAATAATGCTGCTTGGGTGTCAGTGCTGTGGCTTAGCTCATAAAGATGCTGACTGCAACATCAGCCCATGAGGGCACCAGTTTGCGTCTTGGTTGCTCCCTGCTGATGGCCAGGGAAAAGCAATAGAGATGGTACAGGTATTTGGGCCCCACCACTCATGTGGAAGACCAGGATGAAGCTTCTGGTTCCTGGTTCAGCCTGGCTCCTTCCTGGCCATTTGTGCTTACTGGAGGAGTGAACTAATGGGTGGAAGCTCTTTCTCTCTCTTTGTAACTCTGACTTTCAAACATATAAATAAATATTTAAAAAGAAAGAAAGAGAGAGAGAGAGAGAGAGAGGAAGGAAGGAAGGAATGCAGGCAGCAGGCATGCCAGCACTGTGGTTCAACAAGCTAATCCTCTGCTTTGCAGTGCTGGTATCCCATATGGTTCTGGTTCTGGTCCCAGCTGCTTTGCTTCCCATGCAGCCCTCTGCTTATGGCTGGGAAGGCAGCAAAGGATGGCTTGGGTCTTTGGGTTCCTACACCTATCTATATGTGAGACCTGGAAGAGGCTCCTGGCTCCTGGCTTCAGATCAGTTCAACTCTGGTCATTGTAGTCATCTGGGAAATGAGCCAGCAGATGCAAGACCTATCTCTCTGTCTCTGCCTCTCTGTGTGTACCTTCCTTTCAAATAAAAATTAATAAATCTTCTTTCAAAAATGAAAGAAAAGAAATGGGGTTTGGGATAGCTCCCTGGTCTTACTCCTCTTACAGTAGATCGGATGTTGGGGGTCAGGGTGAGGATCTAACTCCTGAGTCAGGTCTAGATATAGGAATGGAAATCATAGACCTTCTAGCCAGATACTAGGGAAAATATGCTCTAAGGAGAATGGTATCATCCATTATTTGGAAACTTATGCAAATAATGAGGTGAAAAATAGGTCTTGAGAAAAGGAAAATGTATTCCTGAAAGACACAGGATCAAAGGGAAGTGAGAACATCAGTGAGAAGAGATACTTTCCCTGAAAGTATCTATCATCCTGAAAGAGACGAGAGAGGAATCTCAGATGCTCAGGAAGGAACCTGAACAAAATGTGGTCCCAGCAATTTCACATGATGGGGAGCACCAGTCGGGGGAGGGGGGGAGATCAAGAGGAGGAAGAGAAGAAAATGGAAGCAAGAGGGGAAATGCATGTAAAAGGAGGCCATGGAGCTCCCTCGGACGCTAAAGGCCTTCCTCCCTTGAAGCCATCATCAGCTTGGACATAGTTCCATATGCTATTAGCAGTATCGTGAGGCCTTCACTTGTTGATGTTCCTCTCTTCCAATCGCTACCTAAGGCATGTATGAGTACTCCTTGCAAGGGGCTACCCAGCCTTTGGGTGCAGACAATGCAGCTTCCAGATTCCTAGCTGGGACTTTGGTTCAAGCAAAGTATGACAACAGATGCTGCGACCCATCAAGGTCTTGGAACATGCTGTCCATTTGGCTCATGCTTGCCTGTGCTTTGGCCTGAATTCCCATTTCCATGACTTTCACACTACTTTCCCCTCGGGGCTTGTGTCCTGCTGAACCTAGCCTGCTTGGCTGTGTTCCTGAAGTCTTCATTAGCACTCTCTCCATTCTCCCAGGAGTCGGAGCTCACTGCCTTG